CTTTCAACACAAGGCAATTCAAAGTGCTTTACAAAAATGGAAGACATTATGAAAATGGCATTTAAAATCAGTCATTAAAAAGAAAAGATAATAAAATAAACATTAAAAGAAAAATACATGGATAAAAGTTACAGTGCAGTTTAAGATGTGAATAGTTCAATTAAAAGCAGCGGCAAAAAGAAAAGTCTTCAGCCTGGATTTAAAAGTAGTAAGAGTTGCAGCGGACCTGCAGGTTTCTGGGAGTTTGTTCCAGATATTTGGAGCATAATAACTGAACGCTGCTTCTCCGTGTTTAGTTCTGACTCTGTGGACAGAAAGCTGACCAGTCCCTGAAGACCTGAGAGATCTGGATGGTTCATAATTTAGCAGTAGGTCAGACATGTATTTTGGGCCTAAACCATTCAAAGCTTTATAAACCAGCAACAATATTTTGAAATCTATTCTTTGACACACAGGAAGCCAGTGTAAGGACTTCAGAACAGGAGTGATGTGATCCACTTTCTTAGTGTTAGTGAGGACTCGAGCAGCGGCGTTCTGAATTAGCTGCAGCTTTCTAATAGATTTTTTAGTGAGGCCTGTAAAGACACCATTGCAGTAGTCGAGTCTACTGAAGATAAAAGCATGGACAAGTTTTTCCAAATCCTGCTGTGACATTAGTCTTTTAATCCTAGATATGTTCTTTAGGTGATAGTAGGCTGATTTAGTAACTGTTTTAATGTGACTGTTGAAACTCAGGTCAGAGTCCATGACTACACCTAGATTTCTGGCTTTATCTGTTGTTTTGAACATTGCAGACTGAAGCTCAGCGCTAACTTTTATACGTTCTGCCTTGGCTCCAAAAACCATTACCTCAGTTTTATCTTTGTTTAATTGGAGAAAGTTCTGACACATCCAGTTATTGATTTGTTCAATGCACTTACTCAGTGTTTGAATTGGAGCATAGTCTCCTGGTGAAATTGTTACGTAAATTTGTGTGTCATCCGCATAGCTATGGTAACTTATTTTGTTGTTTTTCATTATCTGAGCCAGTGGTAGCATGTAGATGTTAAAGAGAAGAGGCCCCAAGATGGAGCCTTGAGGTACCCCACATGTCATATTTGTCAACTCAGATGTGTATTTACCTATAGAAACAAAGTTGTTTCTGTCCTTTAAGTAGGACTCAAACCAATTTAGAACTGTTGCCGAAAGTCCCACCCAGTTTTCTAGTCGGTCTAGTAATATGTTGTGGTCAACGCAGCACTGAGATCTAATAATACTAACACTGAAGTTCTGCCACTGTCTGTGTTTAAGTGGATGTCATTGAAGACCTTTACAAGAGCAGTCTCAGTGCTGTGGTTTGGACGAAATCCTGACTGGAACACATCCAAACAGTTATTTAAATGCAAGAAGTTACTCAACTGTTGAAATACAACTTTTTCAATGATTTTACCTAGAAATGGCAGGTTTGATATGGGCCTGTAATTGTTCATTACCGAGGCATCTAGATTATTCTTTTTTAAGAGCGGTTTAATGACTGCAGTTTTCAGGGCCTGTGGAAAAATACCTGAGTGAAGAGATGTGTTTACTATATGAAGTAGATCTGAGGCCATGCAAGGAAAAGAGAAATGAATGAAATTATAATTCTGCCAAGGTTTTCCGCTCCCTCCATAGCTCCCGATAAATAAACAATACAACTCATTTGAGATAATACAATTAATTGAATAGCAAAACTCTTCATATGTAGTAGCCTCAGGTCATCTAGTCTGCAGCCAGTGACATCAGCCTGTGTTCCTATTGATCGTTCCTCACCCCTGCTGACTAACTTATCGACAAACTGAAGTGTATTTCCTGTCCAGACTGTCAGCAGTGTTTATGGATGCCCCTGGCCCCTGGTGACACCCACCCACACCACACACACACACACACACACACACACACACACACACACACACACACACACACACACACACACACACACACACACACCACACACACACACACACACACACACACACACACACACACACACACACACACACACACACACACACACAACCAGTCCCTCTGCTTATCGATGTATCCTTCTGCTTCCTCCGCTTTAATGAATCTTGGAGGTGTTGAACTGCAGATGTTGTGCAGAGCTCAAGTATCGACGGGAACAGCGGTGATGAAAGAGTGTGTCCCTGGAGAGGCCTGGATTAGGTCACAATCAGAGTGTGTGATAGAGGGAGAGAGAAAGAAAGGGATAGTAGATGTGCGTGTGCGTGTGTGTGTGTGTGTGTGTGTCCATCACCCCCTGTGTGTCACTACTAGGAAGTGGTATTAGGTCCAGAGTAGGCTGCGTTTGTGTAAAACACTGTCATCACTGCTTTAAGAGGTTGACAGGTGAGATGTAGGTTGAGACAGGCACATGACAAGAGAGGTTGTCTTGATGGACAAGCCTCTATCTCGACAACACACTCATACACGTTCACAAGCTCTCACACTTTTCCCCGTGCACGCCCCAGGCCCCAACGGACTCTGTTTATCTGCAGCTTCATATCAAGATCTGCACTCAGCTGCTAATGTCTTCTGATCCTTTGAGGGCACACAGTACTCCACACTGCTCTGTGATTTCTGCTGGCACGCTCTCTTCATGTCCTGCAACATCACTCATTACCAACCCTTATCCTTACCAATTAGTGGAGGTGATGCTGAACTCTGGAATTAACCTTAATTAGCGCAACCTCTCCAGATCCTCTTTATTTCACCCCTTTACGCTGAATCTAACATATCATTAGTCTGTTCCAGCTCTTCAAGCTCCAGCATTTTATCATCAGGGCTGATTGATTTGGAAACAAATATCTTATTGCTATAACTTTGACTGACTTTTATTTTTGCATTATTATTCGAATTTCTTCAATTAAGAAAACATATTTTGTTGATTTGATAACCGAGACATCCCTGCAGCAACCCACTTGTCGTTTCGGAAACATACCTGACACGTATTTTGCTACCCGTGAGATTTGGATATTAGCATGGAGCATCTAGCCCTCTCTAGACTTGTTAAGCTCAGAAGTATATAATGGTTGTGCCCACAGTAACACTCTGTTATGTAACATGACATACAGTAAGTAATCATGCCCCTCCCTAACTATATGGGCATAGATGAGTCATTTGGGAGCAATGATGGCAACAGCTAACCGGTACCATAAAACGTTGGCATCACAGCTTGTTCTTTAAGGCCAGTATGTTGAGTGTTACTTTCCACCATCTGTTTTGTGGACGAGCGAAGCAACAACATTTCAGTGATTCAATTATAAACGCTGATGTTTCTGCCCTGACGGAGCCATTCAGACACTTAGTTTCCTCTATCTATCTTTCTCTTTCGTGTTTTCATAAACAGTGTGACCGCCTTACGTGTGTAGTTTTTTAAAATGCGAGTATGAAAAAAAAACGACAGTTAATAGGCTGAACGAGAGAATGAGAGGCAGAAAAGGTTAGGAAATCTGTTGTGTATGTTTTCTTGAGAGGTAATCCCCGGGCTCAGACCTGACTATTTACCTGCAAGTTGATTTGCTTACACCTGATGTGTCGAGATGCAGACTGGGGAGGCACACCCAACACGTCTCATGAGGAGGATAGGAAAAGTAGGGAAACTCAACAAAGCAAGAAGTAAATAAACCCAGTGTCTGGTCGCACGCACGCACACGCACACACACGCACACGCACACGCACACACAAGAATCCCAATACTTCCGTGGCATAGCCATTAGGAGAGTGCGTGGGTGAGGTGGATCGTTAGCCTGAACAAAGGGAGAGTTTATTGTTAAGTGAGCTGTGTTTAAATGCTTTTTAACTGCTGGTGTCGCGGAGGCAGCTGCCTGGGCTTGAAGAGCGGGGCAGGTGGGCAGGTCTGAAAGAGGCAGTTGAAACAAACTTCCAACCAAAAAAATCCCCCTGACCAGCTGGTGGATTGTTGTCCAACAGCCAAAACAATTTTTTGTATCGTATTACTGTGGTACTGTGGTATTGTGGTTTGGCCCACTCAGGCTGTAACTGTAGCAGGAAGCATTGATGCACTTTGATGCTCAAATACCTGCGTGTGTGTGCGTGAGCGTGCATATACGCCCACTTAAAAAAGCAGTAACTTCCCCCCCTGGCTCCTCATGAGAAGTCATTAGGAGTGTGTCTGTGTGTTTTATTTTTAGCAGTGTGTGTTTAGGAGGGGTTGTGGAGTCTCGTCAGTCTGCAGGGCCCTCATCGGCTCCGTCGCTCCGTGCCTCTGTCTCCAGCTGAGAGTTATGTATATTTCATCAGCCCTGGGTGCCTTTTTGTCTTAAGATGCGCTGCACCTCCTCTGCCTGTCTCCCTATTGCTCGTCAATGGAGGGAGCCATCACAGCCTCTTTTAAACTCTCCCCCACTTCTCTCTCTCTCCTCGCTGACAGCCACCCTCTGCCTCTCCCTCTGCTTTTCATGGTCAGCTTGTCTCTCTCCTGAAGGCTCATCCCTCCTTCCTCTTTCAGCTGTGGAGAGGAGCAGAGTGGAGCACATCCAAACAGACTCAGGCTGTCAGGAAAACTCTTTCTCTCTCTCCATCTTTGATTCTGTCAGCCTGTTTTCTGAATCTGTTTTGCAGCTCTGTCACTTCAGGGAAGGGACACTTCTTCACCCAGCACTGTATCCCCTTCAGTTGTTGTCTTTTTATAGCAGAAATCTGAATGCTGTGACAGCAGCTAAAAATGGGTTCACCAATGATGGGCTATATCAGATGTTAAGTGCTATAATTGCACCATCAGTGTCTTATAATGTTTGTGTTTTATTATTATGGCAATATTGCAGTTAAAGCCCCAATAATAGCGGGGCATTTTTGTTCTCATCACGGCACATTTAATTATAAGTGTGCAACAGATTAGACTATTAGAATCTATATCTAGTAGAATTGAATCATTGAAGTACCCCTGCTTACATGTAGGTCATTGTGGTTCCAAAACGTCTCATTTGTTTCATGTATGTTAATTATGTCTTTACATCTTTTAGGCATGTACTGTGATTGAGAGTGCGGCTGGAGCCAGTAAGGAGGTGGACTCGAAGCCTTCGGTGCCTGCAGGTGACCTCACTCCTTCTCACCCAGTGACCGAGACAGAGAAAGCTGAGCGCCCACTGTCCAGTGAGTACAGCTCTCCCAGACGCTCATCAATGTTGTTGCTTCAGAGGGTTTTTACCACTCTTCTTTGATTCATCTTTATACCTCTTTTCGCTTCACACCATGTGATTTTTAATAGATGTTTACTGCAATAGATTACTGTGTGGCTATTCTTTTATCACTGACAGGATAAACTGAAACATTTGTTATGTTTCATGTTGCATTTCTTGTTCTTGTTGCTCTGTGTGGCCACAACCTTTTACATGAACCTACACCCACTACTGAGAATAAGCCATGCCCTCTGAACGCACATCTCTACACTTAGGGGACGTCTTATCTCTGCTTCCTTTTCCTGTGTTAGTTGTCCTCCTGACCTTGCTGTGGCAACACAGGAAGTGGAGAGACCCCTAGAGTGAATGAGATTTAGGTCTGAAGCGGATCTTACACCCTAATCGAACAGTTACAAAAAATCATTTTGAGTTCCTCTTTTTTAGGAGTGCTTCTTAGGGTTCACCATATTCTAACGCTCCAATCGCATTCCCACAATTTCACCACCACCACCACCACCACTGTATATTATCTCTATACTGTATTCCTCCCAGCTGTCACTTCCTTACCTAAACGTTTCGTGTTCCATCTTTTGTCATTACAATTGTCAACCTTCACATGCTGCTGAGTGAGACCAGTAGGACATAATAAAGATTTCCCTGCAATTTGTTTTGCAAATGTGCGGGGAACTGATCCCTTCACCTCCTTTGAATGCATTGTTTAACAGCAACTGCTTTTTATTTCAACAATGCAAACCAGCAAACAGGACCTGCCCACAAAACGTACAAACAAAGGCTCTCAAACAAACACTGACATTGCTCTATGTCCCCACACAAATGCTTATCCTTAACACCATATGTCACTCTTTTTTTATTTTTTGCTTTATTCTCTGACCACTAATCAGTCAGCTGATATTGCTGCCAACCTTGACCCAGAGCAATGGATTATAGGTTACAGGGTAATTTCACTCCCATCTCCTTGATGTATATTATAGAGTTCAGCCAGATAGATGAGTAAGCAATTTGTTGGGATGCTGGTAAACACAAGGATGATAGTGATGAAACCAGACTGGGAGATGAGTCGGAAGATGTCATCATGAAGCAGGGGCAGAAGTGTAAAAAAAGTGACATGCAAGTGTGTATGTGTGTGAGAATGCCCCGAGGGAGGCCTTCACTACAGTGGGTTTTGGAGCTCAGTGCGTTTATGTGGAAAGTGCTGCTGTCTCCCCTTATCAGTGTAGCTGGACTGCCTTTTCACTGAGTATTTTTTTTTCTCAAGTGTTTACACTTAAATCTAATTTTCTCAACTCTCCACCCTCCGTTCTTTTCACTTTCTCTCGCCCTGTTCTCTTTCTCTCTGCTCACCACTTCCTCTAGCTTAGGCCACTCTCTCTGTTTTCTCTTAGGCTATTTCTGTTTTGGCCGAGAGGGCCCCCCTGTCGTTTACGGAAATTCAACACAACCCCCACACACACACAGTCACACTAGCTCAACCACAACACACTGAAAGGCACCTGGTTAAACAGTCATGACATACAGGGCCACCGCACGCTCACAGACACACGTACACGCAGAACGCTGAACGCTCCTCTCACTGTGGGTTGAGAACAGGGTTTTCATGAGTTATTTAAGTGCCCTCCATCATGCGTGTACGCTGCGGCTCACACTGACATGACACGGCCCATTTCCTCCACTCAGCCTAGAAACGTGACACAAGACATGCTTGCGGTGTTCACACAGAAGAGAGTAGAGAGGTGCACAATCTGTCATGATCTTAATACTGTCAGGTTTAAATCATTAAATGGGCCCCTACGCTACAGCTAGAGTAAAGCCAAAGGGAGAGGCTTATGATTTGAGACAGTTGATGTTGCACAGTCATGCTGCAGTCAGGGTTTTAGATGACCGTATGTGAAACTTTAGTGACTTAATGGTCTTAACTCTAATGTAAACATTTGCTTTGACCAGTGCAATTCAGAGGGAGGGAAGCAGTGGGTTTTTCTTGCACTGTGATATTAAACAATATCAGTATTTGAGTTAAGGAGATCAAGAATACAATTCTCATTCAAATCAGATCAATATTTTTTTGTTTGTATCCCTACAGTATGTCTCAATTCAAATTTCTCATCATGTGGCCAACAGGAGCCCCTATCAGACAGGAATCAGGCTTGGGGGGAGGGGGGGGTGTGTGACAAATGGGCTGACCACTTCAGGCCCATGGACCCGTGAACACTTCACATCAGCAGTCACTCAAAACAAGCACACAGTCAATTCATCACTGTCATTGGTGAAGGGACAAGCTGAACCTCCCTACTGTCTGCATAGACATTTAAAAGAGGGAGGGGCACACAGGACCATTGCAAAGGGCAGAATATGTGATGAGGGAAAATAGACCATTATGTCCTTCAATGTCAACGAGGCATCAAGTTGTAAGAGTGGTTTGGATTTATTGTGTTCTCCTTTACTGTTTCATCACAGCCTCCAATATTGTCATTTTGAGCAAATAATACATTTACAGATATGCACATGTATGTTTGTGTGTTCATAATATGTGTGTCTTGGAATTACATATTACACACTGATGATGTGATTGTCACGAGAGAGGCTGTGAGTGTGTTTTGATTGGAGCGGCACAGCTGGACTTGGCAGACTTGGCAGTCGTATAGCGTTTGGCTGCTGGCCAATTCAATGCAATTACAATTACCCACCGTGGGGGCACGGAGCACCACTGAAGAGTGGGTGTGGGTGCTGGTTGAGGCACAGAGGGGGGGGTAATTCACAGCATTTGGCAACCCGCCTTTGCTGGGGAAGAGAATCAATGTTGGTGTCTGTGAGCGTGTTGCTCTAGCCGCTGTGGTTAACATTGGAAATTAAGAGTCTTGCATGGAGAACACAGCAGTGTGGTTCAATCCATAAACAGCCATGTTACAAGGGAACACACACACACACACACACACACACACACACACACACACACACACACACACACACACACACACACACACACACACACACACACACACACACACACACACACACACACACACACACACACACACACACACACACACACACACACATTAAATGAGGAACATTCTGTCCATGAGAGGGTGATTACATATGAACAGAGCAGCAGGTGGAGGGATGAGAGTAGCCGTGTGCAGAAAGAATAGAGCGGAGGTTTGACAGCGTGCTGGCAGGTGGGTAACGAAGGTATTGGGAGGATGGCGAAGAAAGAGACGAGGACAATGAATGGAGAGACGACAAGAGATGTGTTTGGAGAGAGAGATCAGAAGGTGACAGAGGAGGCATGGAGAGGAATTCAACTGCTTGATCCCCCCCACCCCTCACCCTCCGTTCCCTCTCTTTTCTTTTGTCCCCCTCAGTAGGGATAGCAGGAGGGTGGGCTAACTTCGAATGACAGTGACAAGCTTGCCACTGCTCCCATGAAGCACAGCAGATGGAAGTGTATGTGTGTGTGTGTGTGTGTGCGTGTGTAGTGTGTGTGTGTGTTTTTTTTTTCTGTGATTAAAATGCCACCAGAGACCAGGGTATACAGAGTCTCTTGAAGCGCCACGCTTGGCAGAGCACCACCTCACTGCCCTCTTTTTCCAGCCCAGAAGTGTTTGTGTGTGTGTGGAGATGTCTCTAGATGTGTGTGTGTGTGTTTGCGAGAGGTGAGCCAGTGTCAACCAAGAAATATTAACTCCAATTGTTCCCATTGTTTGCTCCATTATATTTTGCCCATGTGGCTGTTTGTTCATTCCTCCATTTGAGTGATTCAGTAACGTAATGATTTTTGAGAAACACGGCTCTGTTCTGCAGTGCGGCGCCAGTCCTGGCGGGCATGGGGGAATTATTCAGGAGACAGTGGGTTTGGCCCTGTGCCTCGGTTATTAGCCACTCACAGGGTGGGCACGGGGTTATGCCCCGACTCAATCACTCACTCTGTTTGCATGTGTGCGCTAAATGTGTTTGTTTGTGCGTGTGTACCGTTTGAGACCGGATTCTCCTCTGGTCACACTGACCTTATTGTGCAATCACTTCTGGTTGATTTGTACCCTTTCCACCACATTCCTCTCTCCCAAAGGCTGAGAAACAGGCCGTCAGCCCCCCCCCCACCCCCGTCTCTCACTTTCTCTCATCTATCCTCCCGATGGGTTTGATTTACTGACTGTGGTTTTCCACCCAGAGCCTGGGAGCCAGAAAGAGTAGACTGAGGGAGAGACCTATGGATTCACAGCCAGCGAAGCACGTCATTACTTGGCCGTAGCTCATCAGCAGATACATCAGCAGGCTGGAGGGCTAATGGATGCGAGCTGTCGCCGTTCAGGAAGTAATAAACCTCTCTCCATTTCATCCCCTTAATTATTTCCTTTTCACGCGTTGCATGAATTACACTAAATGATGACAGCAAAGAGCATCTGAAAGCGTGTTATGTTATTCAAGGCTGAATATTTGCCTGCATTATACATATAGTACAACTCAACGTGGACCGAATAATTCCTCTTTTGGTATTGGGAGGAGTTATATTTAGGCCATAGTGAGGCCACTCCATGTGAGGTTAATGTTCAGTTTAGTGGCGCGAGGTCAGGTTACAGACGGTAGCCCTGAAAAAGATGACCACTTAGTGAGAGACCTCCAGACTCTGACCTTTGACCTCACAAAGGAAACAGGTGTTCAAGCAAGATTAAGCCTGACTGCCTGCACACTTAGAGCTGGCAGCAGGCTGGTTTGTGTTAGGGGTGTGTATCTGTCTCTTTTAATTTACAGCAGATGGATACAAATATTAAAACTTTACAATGTAATACAGCATCAACACAAACCAAAGAGGGGAGATCAATACCTTTTGGGTGAATGGGTTTTATGCAGTGGAACATTTTTGGATGAAAACAGTGTTGTAAGTATACCAACTTGTGTGTGTGTGTGTGTGTGTGTCTTCTATATTTGGTTTCTTCCTTTTCTTTTCTTTTTCTTATG